AAAAAGAAAAAGAAAAAAAAAAATCGTAAATACCTGAATGATACTAAGTAAAAGGTGGGCTGGGGTGAAACAAGGGACAAGGATTCCAGGTTAAAGGTCAACCTGTGCAGACACTTATGATTAGATGGACCGTTCTGAAACTTTAACATGCCTTCAAATCATTTGGATATCTTGTAAAAGGCAAACTCAAAAGGTCTTACAAATGTAGATTTCAGACCCCACCCCACAACAAGGCTTTTTACGCGTCCAGTTTCTCCCAAATCAAAAAGATTTGAGATCTCCATGAAAAAGAATTTCTCGAAGCAACTGATTCCTTGAATATATTTTCCCTATTACTTCTCTATGTTGTCAATTTCTTTTTCTGGCGTGAAAAAGGAAACCTGCAAGAGTAGATTTGGTGGTGGGGGTGGGTTTCAAGGCCTTTCCCCTGTTCAAAGACTGTAACTGCCTGGTTCATCAGAGCTCTTAACGTGTGGAAAGGGCCCAAGACGTTACTGTAGAAGAACAGATCCACAAGGCACCAGGAAACTGGAGTGCACAGTGAATACGTCTATGTATTCTTTTGCAAAGAAAGATCTTCAGTTTCATTGCATCTTCGATGTAACCCAACATTTACAATGGCATATAGCAATCTCCATGTAGATACACACCCCGATATTAAACAAAATACAAATGTTTGTCAGTACTCTCTTTTCTAGGAGAAAAACGATGCTGTCAGAAGTGGGATTCGAACCCACGCCTCCAGGGGAGACTGCGACCTGAACGCAGCGCCTTAGACCGCTCGGCCATCCTGACACACGCTACAACTGTTTTTCTGTTTCCTCTAAGTTTATTGACAACTGCTGGAACAAGACATAAAATGATATCCAATTTCAATCGTATTTAATCTATTTATTATTTCAACTAAAAAACCTTCCGAAACTTATTTGCACAGCAACAAAAACTGTCACCGACAGCTGGTTCCTGTCTGCTACTTCCCGATGACGTTAAAGTTTGACGCTCCATTCCCTCCAGCATCCTCTGGAGAGGCCGAGATAGGCTTCGGTGGGTCTAGTAGGCGCCCGTCCCTCTCACCTAAGTCGCTGTTTCGTATCAGACACCCGGTGGATGGAGGGCCGTGGAGAAGCCGGGAGCGGGGGCGGGGAGCCGGGAGCGGCGGGCTGGGAGGGAAGCGGGCGGCGGCGGCGGCGGGGCGCACTCCGCGCGCAGGGCTCAATCGGCGCCTCCTGGCGGGCTGTCCCGCGCTTTCCGCTCTCGGACTCTTAGCGGCAAGAGTCTTAAGCTATTTTGCCTTAAAATCCTGAATTTACCGCCCTCAGTAGATTCACTACCTGTGTCTTTATATACAAATTCCAGTAAGAACGCGTGCGAGGCGTTGGTGGTATAGTGGTGAGCATAGCTGCCTTCCAAGCAGTTGACCCGGGTTCGATTCCCGGCCAACGCACGTCTGTTTCTCGTTTTTTATTTTTATTTTTTCTCCTCACTGTTACTTAACATACCTGAGAGGAGCCAGAGATGGGGATGTGCGCTTTAGCTTAGACCTGAAAGAAATCGAGAACTGCAGCCCTACCTCACATTTTTTTTTTTTTTTAAAGTTTCTTCCTTCCTCCCTTTCTTTTTAAACTTCCAACACTTGAAGACTCTTTGGGATCCTCCGCGTTCTGTGATTTCTTGTCTGAATCTCCCCTTCTTGTGTTTTTATCGGCGAGGTAGGTAGTCATGACCACTGAACACTTGAAATTGTGAGCCTAAACACAGTGGTTTTTCAAATTCAAATTTAATTTGCAAATTAATTGAAATAAATACACTGAGTAAAATCATTAAAAACTGGAAATTTGTGAACGGATACTCAATTCAGTTCAGTTATTATAGAACGCTGAAGTAAGCTCAGCAAAAACAGGGACATGATTCTATTTTTCAATCATAAATTTTATTAAATTTAGATACTGATTTTTCGTATACAAATTTAATTTTCCAGTGAAGTGCACGGCCTGCAAATGTAACTACATGCCAGATTTTAAAGACCAGTAAGGGAAAAAAATCTAGTTAATAATCTTTATATTGATTATGTCAAAATAATTTAGACACGCCGTATTCATTAAATAGGACTTACTATTAGATTTATCACTTCTTTCTTTTTACTTTTAATGTGGCTATAATAAAATAAAAATTAAAAAATAAAATAAAATAAAATAAAAATTTACTTGTG